GGCATCCGGTCCCATCACTTCATGGCAAATACATGGGGAAACATGGAAACAGTGACAGGCTTTATTTTCTTGCACTCCAAAATCACCACAGATGGTGACTGCAGCCATGAAACAAAAAGACCCTTGCTCCTTAGGGAAAAGCTATGACCAACCTAGACAGCATATTAAAAAGCAGAGACATTACTTTGCCAACAAAGGTCTGTCTAGTCAAAGCTATGGTTTTTCCAGTAGCCATGTATGGATGTGAGAGTTGGACTATAAAAAAAACTGAGTGCCTAAGAATTGATGCATTTGAACTGTGGTGTTGGAGTAGGCTCTTGAGAGTCCTTTGGACAGCAAGGAGATCCAGCCAGTTCATCCTAAAGGAAATCAGTCCTGAACATTTATTGGAAGGACTGATGCTGAAGCTGAAACTCCAATACTATGGCCATCTGATGCAAGGAACTGACTCATTAGAAAAGACCCTGATGCTGGGAAAGATTGAATGCGAGAGGAGAAGGGGATGACACAGGATGAGATGGTTGGATGGTATCACTGACTCAATGGACGTGAGTGTGTGTAAATTCCGGGAGTTGGTGATGGACAGGGAGGCCTGGGGTGCTGCAGTCCATTGGGTCGCAAAGAGTTGGACATGACTGACTGACTGAACTGAACTGATGATAATGTTGTACCAAAGATTATATGCTAACTTCAGGAACGCATTGGTGCACATTTTCCTGGATTATAGTTAAAGCTGAAAAACAATTTTTCACTTTAGAAAACTAAAGGCTGAAGTAAATAGAGTAGAAAACAAGCAAATATGTAGTAAAGAAATCCATAGAAATTCAATATTTGTGTACTTCAAAGTTTTCAGAGCAGCAAAGCTGTCTAAGAAGTTCCTATTTGTTATTGGAGTGCTTTGTCACTTTCTGTTTTGGTCCTCTTGAGTACTTACTTACTACAGAGCAATATTAATGTATATTGTTCACTGTGATCATTTTAATGGGTATGTTGTTATCTATGTGTTAATCTTACCTCCTCCAAATGAGAACTGTTTTTTTTTTCACTTTGCCTTAAAATGACAAGTTTAGGTCCAAGCAGATAGTAAACCCTCAACAGCTACTTACTGAATGACTGACATCACAGAATTATACTGGTAAGACTCTAAATGAAAGCACCTAAACCATGATCATGCGTTCCAGATGATATATTGTTAAACTGTAACACTTTATTTTTCTGAACATTTTTCTTTAAAAACAAAAACCTACCAAAATGGAAAACTGGAGTTACTATGTAGCAATATAATCTCAAAGAGAATCAGCCAAAAAGTTTTTACAAGTTACTGAGATTTAAAATAATTCAATGGCAAGAGTTTCCATAAAGTTTTGATGTACTTTAGAAGTATCATAGATCAAGGTCAAAACCAACAATAATTATTAGTGCAAGCATAATTTTGGGACTCTCTTAGTTTACACATTCGTCAATCATGAATGCCTTCAAAGATTACTTACTCTAATCCCCTACCTCACACCCAGCTCAAAATTTTGAAAACAAAATTTAAATCCAAGGATTCATGGCTTTTTTTGAAAATCTAGGTTACATGGCTTTTTTCATCATGTAAAATTCCTATTCTAATAAACTCTGGATTCAGAGTTCACAGATCACTTGAAAAAGAAAGCACATACACATCTAATTCTTACCAGTTTTTCGGGTAAAAAAAAAAAAAAAAACAAACTACTATGTTATTTGCAGCTGCCTTAACAGCAAACGACAATTAAATGTGTGAACAAGGTTGTCAGAATAACACTTATCATTCACACCACTTATGGAAAGGCGCTCTAAGACTTCCAGAAGCACTAATTAAAATTAACGAAAGCAACTTACGGGGACGTGTCAAGAGAGGTACAGTTTGTCATCTGCTGTTTGAAACAGAGGAAAACCAAATCGCCTCAGAGCTCCAGAGTTTTTACTCTAATGTGTAGATCCAACCCAGCTGCCACCGGCACTGAGGAACCGAGGCCGGACTCAACAAGCTACTCACCAAGGTTAGAGTTTCAATCCCTTCCATGTTACCCAACTGCTTAGAAAAGACCTGAAGAGGACGCCGGAGGGAATTTTCTTTCAGAAATCAGAAAAGGCCTGGGGTGGGGGGAGGGATCCTGTCTACTACAGAGAGGAGAATAAAGTGCAGGGTCCTACTGAAAGTTGCTTGATATACCCCACCACCAGCCGCCTTCCTTTTTTTTTTTTTAACTCAACGTGAATGAAGACACTCAAAACGAGAAGAACGTTAATGACATTACCCACCTCTAGCCCCAAAGAACCCAGGAAGACCTCATCCGGGACTCAGGTGGCCCTTTCTCACCTGGGCCTTGCAGAAGTCGGCCGTCCTGACGTAAACGCACTTTTCAGCAATGCGCCTTCCGATTGGTTGACTCGGGAGGGAGGCCTCAGTCCTATTGGCTTCAAGAGCTGAGGAGGCGGGAGTTTGGAGCTGACTGTGACAGGCCCGCGGCTTAAGCTCCCAGAGTTCTCATTGGGTCAACGCGGGAAGCCCCAAGATGGCGGCGGCAGGGACCTGCGGCACCGGCACCCGGAGTACTGGGTCTGTGGTGGCGGCGGCCAGCACGAACAACGTCACTAGCTTCCAGCGCAGGGGTCCCAGAGCTAGCGGTGCCGACAGTGGCTGCTCTCGACTGGTGTCCATCGCGGGGACACGGCCGTCGGTGCGGAATGGACAGCTGCTGGTATCAACCGGGCTGCCAGCCCTGGACCAGCTCCTAGGTCGGTTCAGAACGGAGATCTGGGCTCAGCAGAGGGAAAAGAGGGAGGGGACTTGCCGGGGTAGACACCCTGACCCCCCATCTCTCTCTCACCTCTCAGCGTTCGGACTTGGAGAGGATGGCTCAGTCTGATGGAGGGGAGGAAGGGTTGCATGGAGACTTTAAATGTTGTTAATCAGATCTGGTTTTGTGCTCCCACTTTCTACTTTGGTGCCCACCAGGCTTTTTCTCCATTACGACAGGAAACCTACATGCTTCTTACCCTTACGTGCATTCCTAGTGAAGGGCAATCACTGATGATTGGAGACGATTTGGCATTCATCTAGGATCCCGTCCCGGTCTTTGAATGCACCCTTATGTGAATCCCAGATAGCCCATGGTTTGGGCTAACCTAGAGAAGTTTGTATCACTTGAGACAGATGGGAATCAATAGAAAATGCTGAAAAAAGTAACTTCCCCTCTTTCGCCGCCTGACTGCTTATCTCCTGGTTCTGAATCTTTAAACTAATCATATTGACTTTAAAAGAATGTATGTTAAAAGCTTAGGTGCATCCAAGTAATGAAAGCCTGTCTTTGACCGTAACAGACGTACCCAGTATCTGCGTTAAATATATGTATTTTTGTTTTTGTTATTTTTTCTCTATATATTTTGCTTCCCAGAGTTACATCTCAAACGATGTTTAAAATTATTTTACATTTCAACGAGAAAAAGAAGTCCAGATTTTAGGCTTTCCAAAATCTCTGGAATTTTTCTTGAGAAGGCTGCTAGAGAATATGCTTGATTAATAACCACTATGTTGAAAAGACTGAACAGATTAGATAGGTAGGACAAAGCTGCTGTGTTAATAAAGCTTGTAAAGTAGTTGATTCCTATCAGAATGCTACTTTACTAAAATTGGTCCATGTTTGTATTTCATAATTTTATTATTATAGGGTGAGATGTGTCAGTTAAGCCTTGTACACTTTCATAAAATATTACAAATGACATTGTTCCTGTACTTCCCTTGTCATTTTCACTCTGTAGTTTTTTTCCCCACAGGTAGACTTTTGAGATAGGTTTAACAATAGAAAGACCAATGAGAAAGAGTATGGCTTCTTACCTCTGTTACTTTATGACCATAACTGGATCCTGGTTATTTCTACAGTAAATTTAAATAATAAATTTGAATGTTTTCCCTTAATTGTTTCAACTCTGTTGCCTTCCTAAATTGCATGGTACTATAAATAGAAATGATTCAAAATATCTAGTTAGCAAATATTTATCTCCCTTTTTTTGCCTTGTGAGTTTAAGTTGGGGTCATCCTGTATTTAAATGTAAAACTGGGAGGCTGTTCCTAGTCCTTAATTTTTTTTTTTTTTTGGTAACTCAGTGGAGATATGTAACTTCATTCACTGATCCTGAAACTCTCCAAACAAAAAGGTCACGTTTCTCACACTACATCTTCAGTTCCTCATTAGAATAACAAAATGTAACTAGCACAGTACCTGCTACTTATAGATTCTAAATAAGTTCTTGGTTTAAAGAAAAATAATGTGTAGGAAAAAGCGTGCACAGATTATGAAACATGTAGAATGGAATTATGTGTTTGAGCTCTAAAATCAGACATGGCAATTAACTGACATGAATAGAGTCACAAAACTAGTGACAGTCTGGCTGATCTTCAGGCTCCACATTTAATGCTCTGCACTATGCTACAATTGCTTCAATTTTTTGAGACCTCTTTTCAGGTGTTTTTAACCATTTATTGAATCTAAGCCTAAAGATTTAACTGTAATAGCCTCTTAAAGCACCCACCAGAAAGGTGACCCAAAGCACCTTCCTTGTGTTTTTTACAGTGATATAAACTTGAACTGTAATTTTAAATTTCTCCAGATTTGCTTGAAGTTGGGGAATCTATTTATTTGACTCTAACAAGATTATGCTAAAAATTAGTGTTCATTAAAATGATTGAACTAAGTATCAGTTTTTGGATATTTTGAAATATATTTTGCATGTATACAGTTAATTCTCAAATTGCACAGAAGTTGAAGACATTCTTATAATAGGAGTTACTACATTTGGAATAATAAAATGTCTAGAAATATTTTGGTTGTTAAGTTCCTAATGGCATTTTTATATTTTGATTTTCTATTTTCTGTGGCCCTTTGGAGCAAACCCTATACATGTGTTATTCATTAAACCATTGTTTGAAAGTGAAACATTTGGCTGCTAATGTGTATACACAAAAGTAAAAGCAATTCACATTATACTGTGGTTCCGAAATGTTGTTTGACTCAAGATTGTGACAAGTCTAATATAATCTTATATTGACAAGATGTAATGATAGTAGGATGCTATGACATCAGAATGATGAAACTATACTGTAACATTGTTGTTGCCTAAATATATTCTGTAGTTACTGCATAACAAGTAAATGTTGTATTGTCACTGACATACACTGCAGTGATATTTTACTACTGCCATTGTGACATTGTAATTTTAAGTGTAGATGCAAAATATATTTGAAAAGCATAAAATAGGCGAATTGAATGTTAGTTATTTGATGATATACTAGTATTTCCATTGCTTACTCCGAAGTGTTTTATAAATTTGAGACTTTTCTATTACTGCATCTTAATCTTCATGATCTAGTTGTATTAAATATTTTTATTCTTTATTTTATTGTTAGATATCGATTTATATTTCCAAAGTTGAATAATTTACATTCTGGGATTTCCTAACCCAGTTTCTCAACTGTCCCTTTCCAGAACATTTATGTTGTTATTTGAGGACGCTGTGTGTAAATATTTCATTTTTCTTCTTCCAGGAATTTCCAAGGAGATTATATAGTAGATAAAGGATTCTGGCAGAATTTCTCTTTTCCTAGAATATAAAATAGTCCATTTTAGGACCATATTGACTAACGTAGAGAAATTATCTCCCAGTCTCATCCTTCAAAAAGATATTTGAAGGACAGATGACTTCTCAGTTTTAACTGGATTAAACTCTGTGTTGTTCAGAATTTATTAAATCTTGACAGACAAGTGAGTGGAAATAGGAATTGGGATAAATAATAATCCAGGAAGACTGCCCTGAAGAAGCTTGAGGGTAGCTACCATTTTCAGCATTGCCATGAAAAAATAATTACTGGTGGGTATAGTTCTTTGCTCCATTATATTTTAATCTTCCTTCCCTGATAGCTCAGCGGGTAAAGTATCTGCCCATAATGCTGGAGACACAGGAGAAGCGTGTTTGATCCCTGGGTTGGGAAGATCCCCTCGAGAAGGAAATGGCAGCCCACACCAGTATTCCTGCCAGGAAAGTCCCATGGACAGAAGAGCCTGTTGGGCTACAGGCCATGGGGTCGCAAAGAGTTGACTACCACTGAGCACACACACATCTTAACCTGGAGAGCGGGATGATATGCATTAAGCTTGGGCTGTTTATTTAGTATCACCCCAGTTATGATATTTTAACAATTGATACCTGTACATTTAAAGCAAATGCCGCTCATTCCTTTGTAAAATTGTTTCACGCAATTTAATCAACAGAACCATTCTCATTGTTGATGGTTTTTCTGTTTTGATTCCCATGTTTGCCCAGCCAATACCTGTGATAACCAAGAATTGTTAGGATGTTTCTTACCTAGAAAAAGTAGACTTGTTAATCATATAACTGCAATTTAATTTTAAGTGTGGCATTAATTAGGTAGTTAAGGATATTGCTGTGAACGAAGGATATGGCTGTTACATTGCCTTTTCCCTACAAAGCCTTTAAGATGCCTGTTTTGCTTCTATAATTTTAAACAAAACTACTGATTTACAGAGAGCACTGGAAAGAACTAGGATGAAAGACTTCTCTTTCCTAACTTTTATTTCTCTTCCCTTTTAAACTTTAAGCTTTGAAAAAGGAGTTGCCTTTATTGTAAAACAAGATAAAATTTATGGACCTTCATATTCTAATATATTAATTTAACCTTGTTTACCCTAAATGTATAGCTTAATTAGAGATTTGTTTTGGAAACTGTGTAGGGCTTGAATTTTCTCCCTTTAAATTAATATATCATTTTCTAACTATTCACATGAATTTTTAAAAATCTTTCCTTCGTATTTAAAAAAATTTAAAAATAGATATTGACACTTAAAATCTTAAATTTTCCAGTCTTTCTTAAGCTTTTATATTTATTCTAGTTTTAAGACAAAATAGTCGCTTTTTTAAAATGTAAAAGCTTGATGAATTTTATACTTTAAGATATCAGACTTGAAAAGTATTTTCAAGCTTTCAAACTTGTGTAAACTTACAAGTTGATGAAATATTCTCCCATATTTTTTTAGTAAGCTGGAGATGAGCTTAAACATACTTTTTAAAGTGGTCTGAGGTAAAACCAAAAGTTTATTTTTTTAGTGACTTAGAATATTGGTGATTGATATGATATGATTAAAGGGAAGAGGAGGCATTGAACAAGACCATTTTTTACTTTGTGTGTGTGTCCACCTGCGCATTGTATCATATTTAATTGGGAAACTATTTCTTGATCTGTTCTCATTATTTCACTATGAATATCGTTCACAAAAAGCATTTATTTCTCTGAATATTCCACTTGGAGGCCTTATATGAATTTCTAAGAC